AAATATCGATGTTTTAAGAAAAATTCAACTGCAATTTTGAGGGGGGGGGGGGGGGGGGGGGGGTTGTAGACTGAGATGTGACGTCAATTTAGGGGGGGGGGGTCTGGCTTTTTGTGACGATGGGTGAGGGAGGGGAGGGGGGGGGGGGTAAAAATCGTCAAAAAAGCGTGATGTCATTTATGGATGACCCCCGGGATATAGACATGATTTTTGATCCATTTTAATTGCTTAAACTTTTTAAAATAGAATAGAACGCCAAAGAATATGTATAAGAGTGCGGAGTATAATTAGTACTTTACAAATTCATATTTGGTTGTTTTTTTTAGAAATCGAGAATAGCATAAATTACTACTTCCGGTCAACGGAAATTACTCAAAATTTGACAGAAGGCAGAGAATTAGAATTACTTACAAGTGAAAATTCGTTTATCTATCCGAAACAGTAATTAAGTTATATGCTTTTGAAAAAAAACAAAAGTAGAATAAGTTCCACTTCCGATTACCGGAAAGGGCTGAAAAGTTGATACAGAACGACACATTTTGATATAATACTTGTGTATGGAATTTCATCAACCTAGCTGTAACGGTACTCAAGTTGTCGTGTTCACAGACACACACACACACACACACACACACATACACACACACGGACAAAATTGCTAAACTATGTTTTTACTACTCATGGAGGCCTAGCGTTAGAACCACCCTAAGCCAGGGGTCGGCAACCTTTTGAAGCGGAAGAGCCAAAATTTACAATTTTCAAAATTTCAAATATGTTATCTTTTATTAAGATTATTAGTATTTGTTCAGGGAGCTGGAGAGCCGCATCTTGATATCAAAAGAGCCGCATGCGGCTCGCGAGCCGCAGGTTGCCGACCCCTGTCCTAGGTGGGTGTCGTCAGAGTGTTAGTGAGTTTGTTGGGAGCGAGGTAGATACGTTTGACGTAGTAGATGAGTTCGATTTGTTGAGCAAGGTAGTTGCGTTTGACGTAGTAGATGAGTTCGATTTGTTGGCGATAGACAGACCTCCCACCTAAGATTTCTCCTAGATGGGTGTCGTCAGGCTGAAAAATAAAAGATTGAAAAGTTAGCCACTCGTACATTTGAAGCCACCCAATACAAGTACTGGGTGACTCATCTCGAGAGCGTGAGCGTTCGAGGGATGTGTGGGAGCAACCCCACAGCGGTCGTTGGCGAGATTTGCGTGAGTTAGAGTAGTAGATTTGACCGCCTCTCGACCCCGGTAGCCAGCCCTAAAAAGGGCTGACCAACCAAATGGCTAAGATCCGTGTAGATCCATAACAGATACTACACTTTGATCTTAGCCAAAAGTTTAAGTTAAGATTTAAAACTTGACAGTAACACAATCAACAGATTTGACAGTATTGTAATAAAGTGAAATGAATGTACTCTTATTTATTTCTTTGTTATTTGAAAAATTGTATTGTATAGGACTTTTTTACATTTTTAAAATTAAAAAATTGTAATAAAATACAACTACAACTTGAATTTTTTTTTAAATTATTTATTTTTCGCTTTCGATTATTTTTCATAAAAACGGCAACACTTGACCAGAAGTATTTTATTGAGCTAAGACGAGTAGCTTACTGGGTACGAACTCTAAACGAGGATTATCTCCCCTTATTCGTGTCCATCTGGGCTGTAAAGTTTGAAAGCATCATCAGAGAACACCGTCTCGTCTTCCGGATACTATCTAGTTATCTCCCATATTGCTATGGCTATTGCTATGGCTTAAGTCAACTTTAAGATTAAACTTCAGATACAACTGTGATGTCGTTGGTGATACATTTTTTTCCTAAAAATTTGCATTTAAAAATCGCTATATTTGAAACATCAACACGTAGTTCTAATTATATACATGCGGGTAGACAAACGAACAGTGTGGTTAAATAAAATGTTTTACAAAGTAATAAATCCAGAAATATTTTTATTGGTTTTATTCAATGATATGACGTCATCGTGAAACGTGTGCGTGAAGACGGTTGTAAAAAAATGGTCATCAAATTGTTTACATCAAATAGTGTACATCAATTGTTTTAATACATGGAATTTTTATTATCAAGTGTACAAATATCAGGTTTACAAATATAGAGGTTTTATTTTTTTTCATGAAACGACATTACATGGGAAGTCGTGTTCATTGCAAGATCCAAAATCTATTTATATAATTTGTTTTTAATAAGTCAATAACATACAAATCTAATCCCATTGATATAATTTGGTTTGAAGTCAATAACATACAAAACTGTCATAGAACATATATACAGGAGGCGAGTGTAAGACATTTATAAAACATTCAGCTGTAAATAACAGACTATTTTAGAGGACCCTTGGCTACAAAAGCTACCTTTCTACATCTGGCTCAAAAAGCTACCTGTCTACACCTGGCTCAAAAAGCTACCTGTCTACACCTGGCTCAAAAAGCTACCTTTTTATATCTGGCTCATAAAGCTACCTGTCTACACCTGACTAAAAAGCTACCTATCTACAACTGGCTCAAAAAAGCTACCTGTCTAAACCTGGCTCATGCAAGCTACTTGTGGACACCTAACCACAACTTCCTTTTGTTACTACTCTCTCATATAATCTGTGTACACAAGGACTTTCCAGTAGTTACCACTAGCTCATACTGTGTACACGAAAACCTAGTTGTTAGCACTCTCTTACACAATCTGTGTACACGAAAACCTTCTATTTGTTACCACTCGCTCACACTGTGTACATGAAGACCTTTCATTGTTTCAGACCAGCAAGTAACAGACACTATTGGACACTAAACAATATACCTCGCACTGAAAGTTGCCATCTCTAATCTCATACACAAACATCTAATTGTAAAAGCAGTTATCACATTGTAAATTGATACAGTAACACAACCATAATATTACACTGTTTTTTTTTTCGCAGCAAAAGAAAAATGTCAAAGAATTTCTTTTACTCACAAATCATCACCAAAAAAGAAATAAAACATTTAAATCTGCATTTTAACCATCGTCATCAATAACTGTTAATTTGCCCTCGCATATGAATAATATTAAGTTGAGTAAAAAAAATAGATCTTGGTCGTTAATCTTCCTTCTGAAAAGTTAACGACTTCCTTCCCTTTAATTATATTTTATTACTTCCCCTGCTAAGGCAATAACAAAACATTCACTCTGCACTTGAGCATAAAAAAAGATAGAGCTCAAACTCAAATTACTGCACAAAAAGTGCTTTTTTTGCCTTATATATTATGAACATTTAATCTAGAAAAATGGCTTTACATACAAAGAAGGGAGAAAACTCGAGCAATGTACTTATAGCTTATTTCCCCTATTACGTTAATCTCTTTAGTGCATGAAACTATTCTGGAACCTCCGTGAAGACGACGGGTGATTGCCAAAAGTTCCATGTAACAAAATCAACCAATTAATTCCACCGCACTCGCAGTTGTTGACTTTCCAAAGCGGTCTAAACCGAAAGCAAAAACTCCAGACATGCACAGAGAAAAAATGGGGAAAATTTGAAGAAAAAAAAACAACTTGAAAGGAACTGTCGACGTTGGCAAGATGGTTTCCAGTTTGTTTACACACACTTGAAGGTTCGACTAAAGTACAATGGCCGTGGTGTGGGGGTTCTGGTCTGTGGATATTTATGGGACATGATGGCTGTAACAAAACATGATCAACATAAGACGTGCATTGTAAAGTCGGGCTATTTGTTTTTAAGTATTGGGGGGGGGGGGGGGGGGGGAGATGAACTGCGCGGCGGGTGTGATGAGTGTTGTGTATGAAAGCGAGACAAAAGATCTGTGCCAGATTTTAAACTTTTAAACTTGGCGAGCATTTTGGTGCAATGCGGTGGGCCTTGCTGTTAGTGTATGACATCTTGTCAACAGTCGGGTTGTCTTGTCAGGTTAGTCAACAATCGGGTTGTCTTGTCAACAGTCGTGTTGTCTTGTCAACAGTCGTGCTGTCTTGTCAACAGTCGGGTTGTCTTGTCAACAGTCGGGTTGTCTTGTCAACAGTCAGGTTGTCTTGTCAACAGTCAAATAGTCGGGCATACAACTGCTAACCTAAGTCTCGAGTTCCAATCCGGGCTAAAGTACGAAGAATGTCCTTGAGTCCACTCAGCTCTGGTGGGTACCCGACTCATGTTATAGAAAGAAAAGAATGTTGGGTATGGTGCTGAACACACTATCACTTCATATGCCCAGTTCACCGAAACAGGTGAACTCTACTTCACTTGCGCCTTGGCCGTTCAGGTTTGAAAAGGGAAACTGACTTTATTTTCTACCTCTCGAACGCAGCTAAAACTAGTGAAATGTTTTACTGTTACGAAACCTTGCAGGAGCTAATTATTTAAAAACTAATTTACCTAATCTCGTCATGTTGTAAACACCCTACCCCCCCCCCCCAACCCCCCACCCCTTCCCTGGCAGTCCATTTCTGTAGGCAATCTAGAACGTCGTTACGTCAAAAAAAAGTTACAAGACTTTATTTTTTTTATAGAAAAGCGTAGCGCAAAACAAGTTGATTTAAACTTTTTAAAATATTAAATTAGAAACATTGATAAACAACTGCACAATTTATTTAAATATTATTTGGAAAGGAATTTAAATAGACAATAAATAACACACAGACACTGACATATCAAATAATACGTAGTCGTGTACGTACCATCGGTAAATACAAATATATGAATACATCTTAAAACAATAGTGAATCAATTAAATACATGATTTACAAACCGTATGAAAGACAAAAATATATCTCCTCTTTAAGCCAGAGATGAACCTTCTCTACTCCTTAGAGGGTTATCCCGCTTTAGGTAGGGGTTGGAGGTCAGAGGTCACGAAGTTCAAGTTGTGCGTCACCGAATTGGTCCAAAATTAAATACCAAAAAAAAAATGTACACATTAAAGTTTGTAATAAAACAATATCAGGGGTCAAAGGTTAACATTGTTACATTTGACTAGAATGTGTCTCTTAGTGCCGGGAGTTACTCTGGTACCGTGTCGAAGGATGAAATTCTCCGGTTGATTTGTGGAATAGCTGAGTTCAGGCTGACCCCGTAGATAAAAATAGCGTTTTTCATCCGCACCTGTCTCTTGTTGGAGCCGCCTCGCATCCACTGCTTGAAGGCCTCCCGGATCTCCTTGTTGAAGAACCCGTACAGCAGCGGGTTGATGGCCGAGTTGGCTAGCAGCAGCCAGAAGGTCAGGTCCCGTGCCCAGACAGGAACTACGTGTTGCCGGGCAGACAGCAGGATGCCCACGACGGTGTGCGGCAGCCAGCAGATCAGGAACACGATGACCAGCAGTCCCAGCCAGCAAGCCGCACGACGGTCCTGCTTGACCAGTAAGTTCTTGGCCAGTTCCTCCCCGTCTTTGCTGGGTCTAAGCGATGTCTTCCTCGGCGCCCAGCTGAACCGTCGACCGCCCGAACCTAAACTGGCACTGTTGGAAAACGCCGGGACGGAGGTTGACGCTCTGAGCAGCACGGGTCCCGCTGAGTTCCGCCTGGGGTAGGTGTATCTCATGTAGTTCGGCCGGTGGCCCAGCCCTGTTAACAATTCAGCGTACTCTTCCGTCGCCGAACTTAAATCTTGAACGGAGGAAAGAGAATTTCTTTTATCACTGGAGAAAAGTTTATCTGAGGAATTCAAAGAACGGCGGATTTGTATTTTTTTCCTACCCAGAATGCCCACGTACAAGCTGCAGTTGAGGGTGAGCATGGCGACCAGGGGCAGGAGGTACTGGATGGCGGAGACGATGGCCACGAAAGAGATGCTGTGGGCGAAGGGGAGCTCACAAGACGGGAAGAGATGAACGCTGGAGTTCATGTCCGTGGAGTTGGATTCCGGGGAATCTTGGATGAAATAGTCCCACACGATAACAGGGATGACCTGAACAGCGAACCCGACAAACCAGACACAGCCGACAGCGATGAAAGCGTTTTTTTTCCGCCGTCGTGTGCGGTAGGAGAAGGGGTAGTGTATGGACCACCACCTGTCCCCTGTGACCAGTAGCAGGCTCAGCAGGGACACGTACAGCGCCGACTGGCGGACCACCAGGTAGAACCGGCACCAAACAAAGGGCAACCACTCCACCGCCCCTTTCAACTGCTGCACCGTCGCCACGAACATACACACGCCGATAATCAGGTCAGCTATGGCCAAGCTGGCCAGATAAATATTTTTGCAGCTCCTCAAAGATTTCTTGACTTTGAACATCCAGAGGACGATGACGTTGAAAGAGAGGGTCGAGAAGGCCAGGAACACCAAGGGGATGGCTTTGAGCCACACCATGAGGAATGTTGGTCTAGGTTCGCTCTCTTCGGCCATCAATGTCGGCGCGCATGGGTATTGGATGCCTAACATCTCGCCCGATTACTTCCGGGGCAGCTCAGTAAACATGGCCCTACAAATGTCTAACTCACGCGTACAGAACTGGGACATTTCAATACTTCTACTCAGCCTCTTGATAACACAACCAGTTCTTTTCTCGACTCCTGGTTTTGATCGTACGTAATTAAATTAACAATTTTTGCGTGATATCTTCTAATGAATTAATTTAATTTATTAATTAATTCAATAATCATTGTCCACAGTGTAGTAATTGTTTTCGTGAATAAATTAACCTATGTATTCAGCGTGATATACCCCCAACACAAAGTTAAATACCATTCAAGTTTGATACTACTATGAACATAGACTGGCTCTTTAAGTTTAGAGCTTTGTTTACCAGATAGAGTATCAAGGCGGTCTATAGCAACATGCAGGTGTTGTTGTGATGGTGCCTCGCCTCTCCGGCCTCAGGTATATGAACATTCATATCCAGGTGGGCAACTTGACAAAATTCTCTTCTTCAGTTACAAGAGAGTTTCAGAATAAATTTAGCTCAGTGCTCTTTTAAATAACTTTTATTTCGCCGTGATAACTAAGGTCAGCGGTTATGGGAGGTCAAGGTCACAACCCGATCCTGGAGGAAACCCTAAAGTGAGATCAGCTTACAAGGCCTCCTTCCTCCGACGATGAAGATGTATGGGGTCAAGGTCAAGGTCAAACCGATCACAAAACTGAAAAGAAAAAAAAAATTGTAAGATTTCCTACCGAAAATATTAATACGAAATGTTGATAGTTTTAGAGAAAAACAGTTCATATAGTACCAAAAACATGTGGTATACCAAATCAGACTTCCAAAATGTTTTGTATGTGTAAGTCACTATTACGACTTGCGTAAACTGTTTACAATCTAAAACTGTGCTTTACAGCGCCCTGTGGTTGTACGGGCACCCACAAAACGTGAGGTGTTGTTATACGGTGGGGGGGGGGGGAGAAGGGGGAGTCAAATGGGGGAGGCGCCAAGTTGGAAGGTTATGTGAGTTTATACATATATGTGGCGTTTTATGGAGCTTATAAAACTATCCAATCATTAGTGTAATCTGATGGGTTTATGACAAAATAAAACAAATAATTGATCAAGTAACCTCAGTGACGCCCCCCCCCCCCCCCCCCCCATCTCTGCCCACAAGACTAACGACATTCGTCTACAACAGGTTACTGTACGCGCTGATGTATTGTTTACATACGGTCACAGATGCGGGTCACGTGTGACCTGTGATATCACCAGAGGTCACGCTTGACCCTTGTCCACGCAAGTGACGCGGTCGTTTAAACCCAAACGGCCCTGACACGCCCACACCGTGTCTAAGTGATAACGCGTGTGGTCGTGTCGATAGTGTGTGTGTACCACGTCCTCGAGATACGGCAAGGTCGGGAGATCGAATCACGGAATAGATAACATATTCTGTCTATGTTTTGGACATGGCTAATTCAAATTTTGAAACTATCGACATTTTGTTTATTAACTTGGAATCAATTTTATATTAAAATAATACAAGTTATTAATTATTATTGACAGTTATTGAATAGCCAACTTCTTGTTGCGTATATGTTACACAGTGTAAACGTTATGTGTCATCCCGTATATGTCATATGACGCTAGAATCACTATAGCAAGTTATGTGATACGTGTCCACGTCCAAAAATGTACGTCTGCATGCCGTGTAAAGACAAAACCCTCCCGATAGAGAAAAAAACTCTAGCTTGATCCCACCCCATTAATAGAAAAAAATTGATCCAGCGCCCATATCTCTAAGCATCTTGTGAAGACGATCGAGATCGATGATTAATAGTACATTGAAACTAGTAACGCTGTTCTAAAAATGTCCCATATTTTAAACCATTTTAAATACAAAAAAAAATAATGTAAACACTATTTTAATATCCCATTTTGTAAAAAACTAATCACGTGACACCCCACACAACAACATCAGTAGCGGGTAGATCCAGATGTCGCAATCAGTTGAGCTGACAGTCATCGAACTGAGCTGTTGTCAGCGTTTGTTTACATGTTGCATCAGCGTCAACTTAAACCAAAGGGAAATAACTCATCACATCCAGTTCTTTCCCTTTACAAGAATACTAGTAAAACGATAACTAGAACCACAGCTAAGCATAACTAGAGCTATGTAGCCTAATGTTATCCACAGACACACGGGCTTTACTTAACCTGTACACACAACACACAGAGACACGTGTGCTCGTGTAGCACACACGTTGACCGACGAATCACGGCGATACAGCTGGCCTGTCGTTACACACGTGGACATGATGGAGGACACCAGACGATTAACAACATAAAGCGGAGCAAACACTGTCAGGATCTCTCCACGTGTCGGTGGTAATTATGTCCCTTACGGCAGACACAAATAGTAATTATGTCCCTTTGTTTGATATGGCGCACATAAATAAAAGACACTTTTTTTTTTTTAAGTTTCAATGTATCAGTGATATAATAATGGAGATTGAAACGATGCAATAAAATATTTTTCTACTAATGCATATGTTAAGAAAAAAAAAATTGAGTGACGTGAATTTTAGAATTGAAATTTAGTAAAAAAAATATATAAATGATATAATAGAAATTTAGAAAAAAATTATATACTTGATACCATCGAAATTTAGGATTATTTTTTTTTACCTCAGCAGAATTAAAACCAAAATTTAAAAAATCCGTGAATGACCCGTGCATCACCAAGTCCACCTTATGAAATAAAATCAGGAAACGTTCACTAACTCTGGAGGAATCAGAAGCCACTGGTTCAGTTCTCCTAACTGGCTGGATTTGCCTGATGTCTTTGGCCGAGATCTGCCGCCGCTTCCGTTATTTATAGAACCCATCTATTCATAGACAGCAATCAGTCATGTGATATTATTGTGGGTTACCTTGGTTTATTTTTGTCAGCGATGCATTCTTTCAAGACACACCTTGATCGGGAGTACTGCATGAACCATCGAACTTCGATCTTCACACATCCCTCCGATCACAGGTGAGGGGGTAGGAAGAGGTTGCAGGTTAGGGGTGGGGGTGGGTAGAGTCAATGAGTGCGATGAGATAAGCTGGGACAAGAGTTTGACGAGAGCGCATGCGTGAATGTAAACATGTTTAAAAACTACTCGCCAGCGTCCTTGAAGTTACGCGTGAGTTCACCTGCGCGTGTGGAGGCTGGGAGTTTACCTGGGGTGGGTGGGGGGGGTGGACTAAACCGCGCACGGGGCTGAACCCGCGGACATGTGGTTAGGATTAGGATTAAACCGATTACACGACGTAACGACATTAACCCTTAATGGATCCAAACTACGTTACGTGGGGAAGCCCCGGAATTATCTTGTAACTTTACACGGAGGGCTAAAAATAGAAGTTAATGTTAACGACGTAACATACTAAAATATTTAAAATTTGCAAAGTTTTTATAAAAAAAAATGAAGAATACGAAATTTTTTTATTGTGAAGAAGCGCGGTTTAGGAAGTGCAGAACGAAAGGGTAGGGCGCTAAAAGTCGCAGAAATTCTTTCGCGGTTTGTTTCTAATGGCGCTGCCATTGTTGGGGTAGAGAGGAAACATACGCACCGCTGGGGTGGAGGGTTACTAGGGTGCACTCGATGAACCTGAGACTCTTAGTACTGCTGGGTACTGTTTTCGGCCAACGCACTGAGGTGAGCCAGTTGGTTTTCTTTTAGACGTACTCTGTTGTTAGGATGGAGAGTGGTAGCCGTTATTTGATGCCACGTGGGGTGGAGCGGTGTCGCTTGTTTTTATATCATGTGATTCAGTGTCACGTGGGTTTTTTTGTTGTCACGTGGTTTCGTGTCACGCTGTTAGGTGTTACGTGGTTTGGTGTCATGTGGTTCGGTGTTGTGTGATTATCACGGGCACCCACGCACACATTCACACACACACAAACACGCACACGCACACATAAAAACAAAATCCCAGAAACAGTTCTGGTAATCAGACCATGGAGCAGCCGACACAAAAACAAACGTCAAACTTGACTAGCTGGTCAACTAGCTGGTCAACTAGCTGGTCAACTAGCTGGTCAACTGGCTGGTCAACTGGCTGGTCAACTGGCTGGTCAACTGGCTGGTCAACTGGCTGGTCAACTGGCTGGTCAACTGGCTGGTCAACTGGCTGGTCAACTGGCTGGTCAACTGGCTGGTCAACTGGCTGGTCAACTGGCTGGTCAACTGGCTGGTCAACTGGCTGGTCAACTGGCTGGTCAACTGGCTGGTCAACTGGCTGGTCAACTGGCTGGTCAACTGGCTGGTCAATTGGCTGGTCAACTGGCTGGTCAACTAGCTGGTCAACTAGCCACCCAGCACATGTTGATTATATAACTTAGCAAGGCCATTGGCTGTCTCAAAAACATTTATTTCATTACAACAAAATTAGCAATTAGCTAAAAGTTGAAGCTAAGAGATGTATTTACTATCTTTATAATGAATCATAGATGCCCTATGAAGTTAAACATATGTACAAACTTAAGCCAAATTTAAAATTCTTCACTTCTGCTTATAAAACCTAATACCAGTGTATTTAACGTCATCAACTCCACATAATTATTTTATTTTAGTTCTTATTTTTAATTTTTTTCCCTGTTCCAGACAATTCCAACGATCCATCAGTGCCAATAGAAAACAACACCGCGACGAAACGAAACAAAAAAGCCTGAGGCGTTTATTGTTTCTGCACTTACTTTTCAAATCAGTTTTTTTTAAATGTGGGGAGGGTGTAGTGGGGAGGGTTGAATAGTTAAATTACAGTAGTAAGTCGATCAACCTGCATCCACTTTTTAAACCTGTTGTTGCCGACTTGTTTATTTGATGCCTGCTGAAACTATTTATCTTGTTTTTCAAACTCTCAGGTTTCCGGCAAAGCAAAATAGAATTTTTGTAAACTAAAACAAAGTACCCAGGTAAATGTTATAAATAAAATTTAGATTTTATACCGCCACATGGCCTAGGGTGACGTAACCAACCTTCCGGCCGAACACAGCGTCCGTTGTTGATTCCAGACTGGTCTGAAGTCGTCTGGCACTAACATTTTTAACATGGCGTA